ATAAATTTATATATCACACCCTATTCTTATATCAATAAATGTGTCTCAGTTTTGTCAGTTGTTCAATATTTAGTTCTAATAATTAGTCTCTCTAAGTCAATCTCTCCTTGGTGTCAGTATTAATGTCCACGAAGCAAAAGACAGACCTCTATTTCTTTGCTCCAAGCTCCTAGTCAGCTCAATATCAAATACTTAAAAAAATTCAACCCAGCGGCAGAAGAACTGGTAAGCAGAAAAAAAGGGAACTCTGTTTGCCAACCTGATTATTATGCAGTCACTTCTTTAAACCTTCCAAATCCTTCCGGAAAATTTCATCCCCTGAAGTCCATGTCGGGATTTTGTTCTTACTGTGGCTGATCTTAAGGTTCCTGCGGCTGTCCCTTCCTGTCCGTTCTAACTCAGCCTCTTTGCACTGCTTCTTTTCGGCAAAATTAAACTGTAAAAAAGAGCCTCTCTCCCGGCTCCTTCTTCTCTCAGCTCACCCATTTTGCCAGTTTTGCATTGCTTTCCACTCTGGATTGTCGGCAATAATAACAAGCACCCGAATTCGTCTGCTTCTATTCTGTTTCTTCCTTCTATGCGGCCGCCATTGCTCAGTCCTAACCAGATGGTAGGAAATTTCTTTGTCCGTTTAGAGGGGTTTCTCCTATCTGCCGGGGGATTTGCCTTACCACCCTGGCGTCTGCAGAATATCCCCTTTGATCTGCTGGTCTCTTCGGGACCAGCAGTGCTCCAAAAGTGAGCCCACACGAAGAAATTAGAGTTAGGGGTTAGCGGAGCTCCCTTACCCCGCTCTAGGCACAGTGATGTCACCACCTGGAAGCCGTAAGTGCTAATTTTTTATTAGCATGATATATGTCAGGATATTATGGTCACAGACCATAGTTAAACAGCCTAGCTTAACATTTTGTGTAAAGTCCAAGGTTTCTAATTAACAGAGATGTACCTTTCCTGAAGAGGACCAGCACTTAGGCTTCATAAACACCTTTGGCTTAGGTCAAAGGTGTAAAAGTGTAAGGTGAGCAAGAATGTGAAAAAATCTGACCCAAATTATTTTTTAAGCATGCGAGGAAAATATTTTTAAATCCAACTTTAGATCAAGCAGAGATTCCAGAAATAGATAAATAACAATATTTGTACTTCAGGACGTTGCATTAAACGTCACCTAGTCTGCAATGGAGAATTAGACTGCAGGGATGGATCCGATGAGGATGGTTGTGATGATGCTGAAAGTACATGTGACTATCCAGATCCAGTCCCAGGAATTGAACTAGTTTCAAGAGGGTAAGTAGAAATGGTCCCCCGCAGAGTCATTTTTTTAAAAAATCAAATAGAAACAAAAATCTTACTTCCAGTTTTGATAAGTTTGCGTCCAGTGTGCAAATGTTTTCAGTTTTTCTACCTTCTTCCTGTGGTGCCTGTGAATTTAGAATTTATTCTGATGCTGTACAAAATAATTGCAAGGTGGATGCCCAGCCTTTCTCTTATAAAAAATCCAATGGAAGGAATTTCCTTCATCTGTTGGGATTTAGGATGCTGACCATTTAAGACTGGGTTCCCAACCTCTGAACTATAAACTGGCCACAGCCCGTTGGGAATCAAAGTGGTGTGTGATCATGTAAAGGTTCTTTTGCACATACACAGGGTTTATGTTGTATGTGTGAAATCAATCCCTCCCCCTCCCCACATTACTGAAGCTTCTGCTGCTGCCAGTCTGTGGAACCAAAATGGTTGGAGACCCCTGCTTAAAGAGATGACTGCATAAGGAAAGGCAATACATTCAAATATGCCCTTTGGTCATTTCACAACTATGCACAAGATCTCTTATCCCATTCATTGATATTTCAATGACAAGCCAAAATGTTGACCCTCATCAAATTAAGAAACAGTTGAAAAATTTCAGATTTTTTAAAATAGAACAACATTAATTTTTTTTGCCACATTTACAGCTTGTGGTAGAAAAAATGTTTACTTTTATCCATCGTATTGTGCCATATTCTGAAATGCACATTTTAGAACTCAACCAAGTTAGGATAGAAATTTTATGAATGCCATAGGAATAGATTCTTCATCTAATCTGTTTTATAATAGTCCAGTTTGGCAAGAAGCCATTACATCAAATTTCAAAAATAGACTAAATTCTCTAGATAGATAAAAGGTTACCTGGTTTCTCATTCTGTTTTAAATACCAAGAATTATTCAGTGCATTTACAACATCATTTCATCTGGGAAAAATCTCTCAATGGCTTAAAGAGTAAACACTGATTTGACAGCTTATCATCCTCACCGCACTCATATACTCTTTTTTTTAAAAGTCTGATGTTTATAATTTAATGGATTTATTAGCAATGCAATAATAATGGCTGAAAGATAAATATTATGAGTTTGATAATGCAATAGCTGCATAGTTTGTGCACTCTGCCTTTAGTAAGTTACACAAGGACAGAAAGGTTTATAAAGAATGTGCCAAAACATGGAAATAACTGGAAAAATGAGTGATCTTAATAAACCAAGGATCCTGAGAAAGAGGACAGAATTTGAAATACTTATGCAGACTCAATGTCATTTATTAGGATGTATCTATATATAGTTATTCATGGAGACAGAATATCTTTTTAAGTATGATAGAATGGATATAAACATTCAAAGAAGGAAGGAAAGGAGGAACAGAAAGCATGAGAGAGAGAGGGCAGCTATTAAGATCTTTTTCCTATATTTTTTCTTTATTATTTTATTCCTTTGCCTTTAAAAAAACTTTTAATCACTTTTATAAAACTTTTATATTTTCATTTCTCTCTAGTATAAAGTTGATTTTATGCAAGCATTCATTTCATTTTTCTTTCTTTTCCCTTTTTGTTGTTTGTTTTATTTAATAAAAAATAAAAAATACACAAAAATTGGTTTGGGAAATAATCGGGTCACAACTTCCTGAGTTACTACTTATAAGAGTTGGATACAGAGCAACACTGAAGATGTAACGTAGTTTGGATAATGAAATGTCTGCATGGAAATAATCAAACTCAGAGTGCATCAAGGACCCCTCATTTCAACCCCAAGCTATAAATATTCTCCTTTATTGGTACCATTTTTTATGTCTGTCCTGTTGTGGCAAGATCATGTGCCTTGTTTCTACTATTTGGATAACTTCAGTAACTGCTAAGTAACCTCACCCCTTTGGTGCCACTAATGCTTCCTTGTCCGGTGGTTACACAGGCAGCCAAAAAGCCCATTGGTTCAAACCTAGAGGCTAATTATATAGTTGCAATGCTAGGAACATTCCTCACTTATTACCAAGTTACATCACAGGTAGTCCTAAATTTATGAGCACAATCGGGACCAGAATTTTTACTGCCAATCCAGGTGGTTGCATCCGATTATTATTTTTTTTGCCACACTTTTAAAGCAAATCATTGCACTTAAGAAAATTACCCATTCGTTAAATGAATCCAGTTTCCCCATTGACTTTGCTTGTTGGAACCTGGCTGGGAAGGTCACAAATACTGATCACATGACCTGGGATTCCATCATCAATACATGTTTTCAAATGCTCAAATTCTGATCATATAACTATGAAGATGCTGGCATAGTTGCAAGTGCAAGGACTGGTCATAAGTCACTTTGTTCAGTGCTGCTGCAACTTTAGACACTAAACGGCGAGTTGCAAGTTGAGGACTACCTGTATTGTAGGTTAACTATAACCAGTTGCATATAAGTAACAGCTGAGGTAACTACATCTAAAAGAAAGGTGTTAACATAGCTGCAATTTCAAGGAAACCTCACGTTTAAGGAACAAAAATGGACTTTTGTTCACTAGTTCATGTCTGTCAAAAAGAGACGGAAAAAGATATTGCAGGTATGGGATAGAAAGATGACATACTGTGGGTTTTAAATTGGCAATGAAAGCATATCAACATGTTAATTGCATACAGGTAGTCCTCAACTTACAACAGTTCGCTTATTGACCATTCAAAGTTACAACAGCGCTCAAAAAGTGACCTATGACCATGTTTCGCACTTATGACCATTGCAGCATCCCCACAGTCACGTGATTTACATTTGGATGCTTGACAACTGGTTCATATTTATAACAGTTGCAGTGTCCGGTGTGTGTGTGTGTGTGTGTGTGTGTGTGTGTCATGTGATCACCTTTTGTGACCTTATGAACAGTGGTGGGATTCAAATAATTTAATAACTGGTTCTCTGCCCTAATTATTTCTTCCAACAACCATTTCACCAAACTGCTCAGAAAGTTAACAACCGGTTCTCGCGAATAGGTGCGAACTGGCTGAATCCTACCACTGCCTTATGACAAGCAAAGTCACTGGGGAAGCCAGGTTCACTTAACAATCATGTTGCTAATTTAACAACTGCAGTGGTTCATTTAACAACTGTGGCAAGAAATGTCATAAAATGTGGCAAAACTCACTTAACAAATTTAACACCATCAATTGTGGGCTCAATTGTGGTTGTAAGTTGAGAACTACCTGTATTTATGCAGAGGTACATTCCACAGGATTTCACTGAATTTTACTCTTAGATATATACTCATAGGATTCAAACTAATTTGTGCCAAATAGAAAACATCTCAAAAGTATGCTTGAAAATGTATCCACACTATGACACATACTTCAAATGCATTATCAAAATATATTTCTACAACTGTACCCGAAGACAATATTATCATAAAAGAGTGCAATGAATTAAAAAGTAAATGCGAACAATTATCACATTTCATGCACTCAGTATTAAAACGTCCTTCATCCTAATCTGCTTTGGTGCAAACTGAGAACTTTTACAACTTGTACCAGTTTATTGTGTAGTCATCTGTCTAGAAATAAAAACCAATTACACATATTTAGAAGTAAAGAAATAGAGAATCACAGCTTTAATTGGCCTACATCTGAATCATTCCCCAGAATTATTTTTTGGGGGGCGGGGCGGGGGGAGAGAGTTTCTAGGATGCTTAAGAACTGGAATACTCTTTGCCACAGAACACACCAATGCTGCTTTACCTATCCGCCTTTCTCCTTCTTTATTAAAGATTCAACATCCTTACACAAAAGCCAGCACTGTTAGTCTATGACCCTAAATATTTTGGAGGCCGGTGTGAAACTGTTTATAATGGAGAATGGCGAGAGCTGAAGTATGACTCGACATGTGAACATTTGTATTATGGGGAGGATGAGAAATATTTCCGAAAGTCCTACAATGTTCATTTCTACCAATTTCTAGTAAGTACGTGGGTGCATTTGTGTGCTTAACATTAAGGTTTCAATAACCCGGGAATAGGGGTGGGTTGCTGCCAGCATTACTGCCAGTTCGCTACTCGCGCGCAGTTGCCTATAAATTGTTCTGCGCATGCGCAGAACATTTAAAAAGGACTAAAAATATGCCAGAAGGCATGGGCAACTGGGGAACTGGTTTTGGGGAGGGGGTGGCCAGCCTGCTGTCCCTACTGGTTCAGTGACCCAGTCGCAATTTCCACTACCAGTTTGCTCAAACCGATGTGAACCGGTAGCAACCCATCTCTGCCCTGGACCTATGCACGGAAAGACCTAATGCAGTAGAGTTATATATTGAATGGTATTAGCCAAATTTCCTGCTTTGAGTTATATAGAAAAGGCATCATCAGTTTCATTGAAGACACCAAGAAGAAGACCTACTCTGGACTGATAGATTTTAAATGAGATAATGATCAATTCTTTCGGTGTTTGTTTGCTTCTAATGTGATAACTGAGGCCAGGATTTGGTCCCCTCCTGTTGAGGCCAGAATGAAAACTCGGAATGATCTATTGCAGGAATCAAATCAGTTTTTTTTGCCTTGTGCAATTTTACCTAAAATCTAGCCTATTAGCACCGTTATGGGATTATGTACTATTAGATCAAGGTGCAGTATAGTACTGTTTTATTCTGCACTTGAAATACTGCATCTAGTTTTGGTTGCCACAATACAAAAAAGATGTTGAGACTCTAGAAAGAGTGCAGAGAAGAGCAACAAAGATGATTAGGGCATTGGAGGCTAAATTGTACAATGAACAGTTGTGGGAACTGGGAATGTCTAACGAAGAGAACGATTAGGGGGAGAGACGATATCAGTCTTCCAATATTTGAGAGGCTGTCACAGAGAAGAGGGAGTCAACATATTCCCCAAAGCACCTCAGGGCAAGATACAAAGTAATGAATGGAAGCTCAACAGAGAGAGATCCAGCCTAGAACTAAGAATGAATTTCCCGACAGTGAGGACATTTAATCAGTGGAACAGCTTGCCTACAGTATTTATGGGTGCTGCATCACTTGAGGTTTTAAAAAGAAAAATTGGACAACCATGACCAGAATGGTATAGGGTCTCCTGCTTGAGCAGGGGTTGGAGTAGAAAACCTCCAAGATCTCTTCCAACTCTGTTAGTCTGTATTCCCATCAATATATCAAATTTGCATATGTGTGAATACTGCAATGCAGAAGTGGGTTGCTCCCGGTTTGGCCTGGCCTATCGGTTCAGCCGAACCGATAATGGTATTTTTGCCTGAGTCGCAGAACTGGAAGCGACCCAGGCTTGCCAGGCCCCCGAACCGATTCCCTCACTGCCGCTGATGTCACTGCCATTTTGTTTTTTAGTGACTACGAATGTGCAGTTCACTGTAAATTGTTCTGCGCACACACAAAAAACAATTTACGTTGAACAGCGCACACATTGTCCGTGCGTTGCGAACCAGTAGTAAAACTGGTAGCAGCTCACCACTGCTGCAATGGGCCTTTACTTCCAAGTTCAGTGGAAGTTTAGCAGTATATATAAAGATTGGGAGTGAGGTGGGGTAGAAACATCTGAAATAGGATAAAAAAATTCAAAATGGTGCTTACCACCTCCCTTCCCTTTCCTATCTATCTATCTATCTATCTATCTATCTATCTATCTATCTATCTATCTATCTATCTATCTATCTATCTATCCATCCATCC